TTCGCGAGGATTCGTACTCCCCGAAAAACTTTCGTCGGTTTATCTGAATAAAAGGCACGATTCTTTCAAAGTTTAAAATAAATTCATGCATCCTACGTAAAAGTGGAATCAAAGCTTTTTTTCTTATGGAGTTAATGTTCTTACGTGGAGTTAATGTTTTCAGAGCAAAGGTTTTTCTCAAGCTACAAACATCTTGCTGATCTTCTAGAATTTTTCCTGATTGAAATGGAAGGGATTGTTGAAACAAGACTGTTTCATAACACTGTTCGAAATTAATTGTCATTTAAGGTCAATTGCGCTGCAAGATTAATTGCGATCATATATTAATAACAATAAAAGGTTAACGGCAAGTGAAATCCTTCATTTGTGATCGAAGTTAATTGCGATTAAAACCTGTCTTTGCAATTGGAATTGAAATGAATTATTATTTAAAGTTAATTACAGGTGAATATGAATCGCTGTTGTAGATTAATAACAATAAAAGGTCAATCGCAATTGAAACTTGCCCTTCTGTTTATAATCGAACCTATTTCAATTGAATCCAGTCTTTCATTTACAATTGAAAGTAAATTAGAATAAAAGCTTGGGAGCAATCGCAGGTTGACTATAATAAGAACCTCGACTGTAACAATGATCCAACAACCGATTAAATGATAAAGTCGCGCGTAAAGTACTTGGAAAATTGGCCAGCAGAGGGCACCAATGCCAGCGATATACACCCGCGCAACCTGGTGGCGTTTAATGGAACTATTGCCGTTAATGCGTTTCTCGCAAGAAGAAGATGAATAGGGCAGAGGCTGGCGTAGCGCGAATCCGCGGCGATTGTTGCTCGCATACATCAATCCAGTCGTCAGTGCAATCTGTCATGCGCGAACTTTTAAGCTGATTCTCGCTTGTCAGCGCATCTGTCGGCTGTAGGCCGCCAAATGTAGGACGGAGACGTTTGTTCTATGGCGCGCGATTTGTCGCGTCCGAGGCGCGCGTTTCTAATAGCGCGGCTTTACAGCTGCGTCCTGCTTCGACACAACTATGATTGAGCCCCGGTAAAAAGCTTACCGGATTCACACTATTTCCAGGAACGGCGCAGGGCATTTCACGCGCGCTCGAGCTACCAGTTCACCATGGCTAAACAATTTCTCATGGTCTGCGCGTTACTTAGTTTTGGTGATCGCCGTTCCTATTTCTGCCAGACGCACGCCGAGAAACTACTGTTTCTTTCATTTACGCGTTTGGCACGGTCATTAACCCTACTCTGTGTAGGCAATGACGCGTATTTGCATCTAATAATCGTACATTTATCGAAAATATAAAGAGTCGGGACGGTGGCTCGCGTTTCCTTATTCTTAAGAAATGTTTGCGCTCGACAGATAAGGTTCTCCAGAAGGAGCTTTAGAAATTGTACTTAGGTAATTCATTAAATCGTGGTTGTACGTATTAAGAAATATTTAGTTGATTCCAAGTTTCCTCGGGGAAAGATGTACGTAATTAACTTTTAATCGCAAGTGGAAATTCAATTGAATTGAAAGTAATTTTCTATTGCAATTATCTCATTTATTTACTGTAAAAATAAAAAAAAATAAAAAAAAATACAACTGTCATATTCCAAAGTTTCGTCATTCTACGGTTTTATTCAATACCACCTCGAATTAAACTGTGTATTCGTTCATTGCCCATTAAATGTAACATTTTCTTATCTGTGTAAAATAAGACAGATTAGAACAACAATTTAGCATAAATACAGGGAGCGGAATAATTGGCTATAATGTAATGGGACTCGTTCTCCTTGACAAGAGATTAACAGGTCAATTTTATGTAATTATTTTATGAATAATCGATTGAATAAAACTATCTGAAAAAGTTCCATCAGATGCTGAATGTAGCATGTGATATTTATATTCGACGAAATTATTATACAATTTTATTATTTGACATTTTAAGACCTTGTGTCTATGGTAATCCTCAGAACAGACTAGAACAGTCTTGTCTTGCATTAATAAATCATTAGCTAATAAACACTAGTAGTCACTTTATTGTATTATAGGTATTTCGTTTCATTCGACTGCTACTTTGAAGCAACGTTGTTATGTCAATGCATCAGTCTTATATTACATATCTATATTGGCATTGTCCTGTCCTAATAATCATATAAAAAAATGATCTTCTAGTACATTTCATCTGTATCTGGCGACGCTAGTTACGCGCCCGTTATTAAGATCCTATTTTTATATACTTTCATTTATATCACGCTAATCAAGAAGTTTCCATTCGAAGTTGCTTCTTCTTTTTTACAATCATACAAAATATCATTAAGAAATAGTTTATCGTGTCGTATGGGAGTGTCCTTTGTCGAATAAGAATTTTTCATCGTCACAACCTTCATAGTTTGACTCGTAGCTTGACACTCGATCACGATCAGCGTGGATCATCGCTCACATTTGACAGACGGCACCAAGGTCATTAATATTGTGAAGCCTCTTACGTGTGGCCAACGTCTACGCGACCAGCAGGGTTTCTTTCTCCCCAAAATCCACCGATCCACCAATCGGCGTTTGACAACTTTGATACCTGCGAGATTCACCAGACGTGACATTTGATAGATAGATCCACGGCCCTCTGATAACACTTTATTTCTACTTCTTCAGAATTTGTTCGAAATATTTCATTTTCAATATTGTTATACCAAACAATACCAATATTGGACATGTACATAGTATGAGACTTGCTTTAATTCTATTCCTTCACAATTCATTTGAAACGTTTAATTTGCAAAGTTCTCTTAATTGAAATAGAATCATTTAGGATTTTTTTCCGATAGAATTATGAAAGAAACTAGTACGAGACCTGTTTTAATTCTATTTCTTCACAATTCATTCTAAACGTTTAATTTGCAGTGTTCCTATACAACAGGATAATACGAATATAGATGTATGATGCGATCCTTCTTGATTCTATACATGTTTAAAAATAGGATTCTTTGGGGACGTCTTTCTGAGTACTCTGCGCGAAATAGCGACAATAATAATTAACTGAAACCATTTTTATTAGTATAAATTTCTCTTCATTGAAATAGAATCATTTAGGATTTTTTTTTTCGATAGAATCATGAAAGAAACTAATCAAAGGGAATATGCTTTTGTGTCGTAGGGTCGCATGCCATTTGTGCGTGCTATGAGCATGGAACAACGATGGCAGGATTTGGCATCTCTTTTGTCCCTACCTGGTGCACCAGACCACTTCGCGCATCCTGCGCATCCAGGATACCCAGGGCACGGTATAAGCCACAGTCATTATGAAGCACAACGTAACGTTTTGCTTCATAATGCCACTCTAGCCCCACCAGTGGGCGACCTTAATGCCACGAGCCCTTATCACAATGTGGGTGAGTAATCGTCTCTATTTTCACAGTAAAAATTAGTACTGTACTAATTACTAAATCAGTTCAACGATACAAGAACCACGGGATCGAATAAAATATTTCTATATTTTCTACTTCGCAACGGAGATTTCTTGTATTTGTTAGAAATGAAAAATTCAATCATAAAATTTTATGGGATTTGTATCGTTTCATTCAAGCATTCAGTGTTGGAAGTACAGGTTCCATTTTGTCAATTTTTATTTTGTTTGTGTTTCGAGTTATGTGCAACCGTACAAGATCTTCAGAACACTGAAACTTACAATTTTTGTAATATTACAATTAATTACAGTAATATAAGTTACACAAGGGTAAGTTATGTTAACCGTGAGTAGTGAAAGCTATACAATTGTATGGTATATCCTTGGCAATATACTAAATTAAATAAAAAGGCTATATGTGTATGTGCATGGCATATTATTACGAAACATACCGCCATTTTGATATATATATATTCAAGGCCGATTAAAGCAATAGCCAAGTAAGCCACAGCTTAGGGGCTTCTCACTTTAAGAGTCTCGTTGACTGAATGTCTATTTTAAAAATAATTAATTTCAAGAAACTGCAAACGAAAGGTGTATAAACGAGCCGTCCATTATGAAAGTAGTATAAGTCCTTCTTCGTGATACAAGGAGTTTTTACAAACAGTGTTTAATAAACACTCGTGAACCTTTCTAAAACATTCGTTATGAAAATTGTGCAAATCCACAAACACGAATGATTCTATGTTTCTGTTATAAAAAAATTACGTTCCTAGATTCACAACATCGAGAAAACGTAAGAAAGTAATCGAACTTAAATTTTGCTTTCTAAACCTTTTGTACCTAAAAATAAAGGCTTGTACCGCTTTCACAACGAACGGCTTAAATCATATTCTCTATCTAATCTTTTGGAACTGAAATACTCAATGCCACAGGTGGATCATCGAACCTGGGCTCAGCCGTGGCAACATCAATGAATTTAACAAACAGTAGTGAACCAATTGGTACAGAAAGCGGAGCTGCTTACAAATCAGAACCTACTGACATGATGTACTATCATACACCAACTTCAGATTCCATCAATCAAACTACCGACGGCTTTCTATCGTCGCTTCTCAACGATGAGGATTTGCATCTGATGGACATGGCCATGAACGACGGTATGTAAACAATTTTTATTTATAATAACATAGTATAATATATCCTAGCTAAATGAAACTGAATCTTGCCTGTTTGATATCGTTAACTGGTGGAGGGTTGAGATTTAATTTTAAGGATCTACCGTTGTTTCATTTGCGACTATTATCTCATGAAGATCCTATCTAGGCCCGTCTGTGATAAGGTTGGCAATCATGAATTGAATAATTTTATCGGAGAAAAATTAGTTCCTTTAAATTTTTGTTATATCTCTATTAAAGCAATTACCAATGGATTAGCATGTCATGAGCATTGTCTACCAAATGCATTAAATTGCAACCTATCGATAACCTGACCTGAAAGTATAGCCCCATTCTAGAATAATCAATGAATCATATAAAATAACCGTAATTATCTGAAAAATTAAAAAAAAAGAAAAAAATAGTGTAAAAATATTAAAAATGAAACACTCTTGGTTTACTTATTTTTATTACAAAAGGATTGTATAAAACACTTAACATAATATTAGAGAGTATCAGTTTATAAAATAAAGTAACATGATCCAATTTTGGTGATAATGTGTTCTTAAAAACTAGTATTTGTACGGTCGATGGAGCAGTACGATGAACTACATTTAAAGACGCAGATGAAACATTTTTTTGTTTGTAGATTATTTATAATCTCTGAAAGTGAAACTTGTCATATTAACGAAGATAACATTGCATAATTATCACATACGTAACCTACTTATTTCTCAGAGGTACATGATGCAGTCTGTACTTCATTTAAATACATCATATATTCATCCGTCTATCATGTAAAAACAAAACAAAAATCAACTTAAAAGATTACTGTTGTATATTAATGACTCTTTATATCAACATAAATACTATATGAATGAATCAATTGTACCCCTGACTTAGCGTTATCAATAAAGAAATATATATATATATATAATACCCTTTTTTCAATAAAACAATGACAGCACAGGTTAAAATTTCTACCATTGTTCGTCTGGTTCCTGTGGCACAGAAAGCGAATAGTCTTCTTCCTTGTATTGTTCACCTTCTGGTTCAAACTGAAACAGAAAAGATTATCCATGAATTACAATTGAATTATTTCTAATTATTCAACTACAAAATATAATATCTCATTTGCAAATATAATTAGAAAATGGTCATCGAAATTCACTCACATCTCGAATGTCTTCTCCTCCGAATCTTCTTCCTTTTCCGGGCATGAAGTTTCTACTTGCATTTCCAGCTACTAACCAATCTGGGACAGGTTGGTTCGCCTGCTTCAATATTCTGACAAGATCAGGTCTGAGCGGTGCATCATCATCGGGATCAAAGAAAGAGGTTGCTCTTCCACGGTTGCCTACACGGCCAGTCCTACCAATTCTATGAACGTATTCGTCGATTCCCTTTGGTAAATCAAAGTTTATAACGTGTGCGACATTTTTTATGTCTAAACCTCTAGCAGCTACTGCTGTAGCTACCAGAATAGACATTTTTCCACTTTTGAAATCAGCCAATGCCTCTTCCCTTTGCCGCTGTAATCTGTCGCCGTGAATACTCGTCGTAGGATAATTATTTTCCGACAAAAATGCTGCAATAAAATCAGCTTTCCTCTTCATTTCGACAAATATCATGGTACCCTTTAGAGTGCCTGCAGCGTTCTCTCTTTCCAAGAGTTCTCCAAGTTTATCTTTTTTCTTATTCCTTGCAACTTCATAGAAATTTTGTTCAACATCTGAACATGCACCACCCACGATGCCAACAGCGAGGAATAAATAATTGTTTAAGAATCTTTTAGCCAGATGTTGCACTTCGTCTGGGAAAGTAGCGGAAAACATTAACGTTTGCCGTTCACCTAGGGGAACCATTGTGTCGTGATCTACGATTTTCTCGATGCATGGCAAGAACCCCATGTCCAACATCCTGTCTGCTTCATCCAATACAAGAAATCGAACGGAAGAAAACTTAATTCTTCCTCTGTCTAAAAAGTCTAATAACCTTCCTGGTGTTGCTACAAGTATGTGACACCCCGATGAGAGTTTTCCTCTTTGATGCATAACGGATGTTCCACCATACGCGACTACAGTCTTTAAAATTGAATTGAGCGAGAATTTAACAATCTGTTGCCAAATTTGAATGGTCAGTTCGCGAGTAGGCGATACAATAACAACTTGTGGTTCGCAATAATCGGAATTTACAATTAGATCGGTTGGATGTTCCAATAATGTGTTAATGATGGGAACTGCGAATGCAGCAGTTTTGCCCGAACCTGTTTGCGCGCAAGCCATTAAATCGCGACCGTTCATTATGATTGGTAATGCATGTTTTTGTACTGGAGTGGGTTTCGTATATCCTGATTTTTTAATATTTTCTAGGACAATGCTTCGAAGACCCGCTCTTTCGAAACTTTCTATCGGCTTAGGTTCATTTTCTCCGCTTACTTTAACATCGATGTTATCATATTTATCGAAATTAATGCCTATTGCAACCCCATTTTCAAACAGGGACTGTTCATCTGTAGGTAATTCTGGAGGAATATATATTTCTTTAGGTTTTTCACCATCGTCGCCATCCTCGCCACCTCCTCGCTGTCGATCTCTTGGTCTACCATTTCTACTATTTTCACCATTATCATCATCTCTGTAATTATCGTTCCTCCTGTAACCATTACTTTCATCGTCGTTGTCTCTGCTCCTGCCTTTGAATCCATCTCTGTCTTGATTTCCTCCCCTGCCGCCTCTACCTCCCCTACCTCCTCTTCCTCCACGGCCTCTACCGCCACCCCTACCTCCTCCTCTACCAGAATTTCCGATATCATTATCGGTATCGTTGTCGGTATTATTAGGCCAAGAATTATTTTTATCGAATCCGTCGTTAAAATTATTGTTCGGTGCTATAAATCCTCGCCCTTTCCCATAACTGCGCCCACCTTCATCGAACTAATTTGAAAATAAAGAAAAAACAGATTTGATAAAAACAAACAAGTTGAACCAGTATACTGTATACTAACACATTTCTTACATTGTCATGAAAACAGAGAAAAATGTATACTTACATACTGTGTATTCGAAGAGATTTCAACAGTTTCTGGGCCCCAATCATCCATCGTATATTCTAAAATAATATTACGCTAAAAATTACAAAGAACGTTTCCAAGAAATAATAAAGTTCTTATTTTAGGTTGTATCATGAGATCGACGAACATAAAATGATTTTATGCACAAGTTACTTTATACAAGTATTATATTTCACATATTCACATGTTGAACAACAAAAGCTTTTAATAAATTATTCATAAAAATATGAATAATACAATGTGCACAATTCTCTGCCAACTTCACTACTCGAGTTATATGTTTGCGTTGAAGAGCAATAGAATCAAATTCTATGATTCTAAGATTTCTATATAAAATTAACTGAAAGTATGCAACGATGCATTAGAGTTGTTATTAATTATTTGGTCTACAACATGTGAAACTCATGGTACAGTATTTAGATCGAACATGAAAAGCACAAATCAGACACATTGCATGGAAGTGCGCAAGCTTTATACTTGACTATGACACACATAATTCTAAAGGAAATGATTAAGAAAAACATTCAAGCGATTCCAGAGAAAATATTAAAATAAAATAAAAACCTCCAAATATTAGTATAACAAATTGTGATGTAAAAGTTAATTTGATAAAATTTAATTCTTTTAACCAAGGTAGAATATATCCTAAATGTTATAAAACATTCTAAATTTCCCGCGACTATTTGAAAACAATATTCATTCGCGATTTTCCTTAGTTAGGTTTTACATAATACTTGTGCTCGTTACTGTGTGTACGTATATGTACAACCAAAGTATGTTCTACAATTTGAAATAAAAGCAACACGCCTTTGTCCAAGGCTTTTTTCTTTTATCACGAATGTACTGAGTATATATCTGTTAACTTTTTAAAAATATTTTACTTTATTACACCGTCCATTTGTATGAATAATGCACCCTGCATTGTTTCTCACATTTCATTTAAATAGGGGAGAGCGTTATCAAGTACTAACAAAATTATTTACAACGATTATGACGCGTGATAGGTAACACGTGCATATCAAGAAAATAAAACGTTACGTTTACCGGCAAACATGACTGAACGATATTGACATTAAATAAAGTTACTTTTAACAATACTTACGTTTTGGTTGTTGAAGAGATACAAACGAAGGTTAAAGTGAAGAAAATATAAACGTGCACAGTCGAACAGATCGATGAGCTGGATTTTCTTGTCGAATGTCGAAAGACGAATGAGACCGCACAAACGTAAGAGCAGAAATGCGAACGACGTTCAACCGTTGCTTCTACGAACAAAGAGCTACAGGTTAGCCAACCTAAAAGTATCCTTGGGAATCGGGTATCGAGTTTTGACTAAGGCGCATGCGCGTTGTGCACTGCGGTGAGCCTTGCCAGGGCCGTGCCAAAGAGTTACAGAACTTACGCTTTTCTTCCTTTGTATAACATTGCGAATGTTATACAAAGTAAAATTACAATTACTATTTCTTACAATTAAATCAATATTAAAAGAAAGTATTTTAAAATAATAAAGTTACATATAAATTGGAGAAAATAATTTTCATCTTCATTAGTTTTATCGTTCGTAGTAATACGTTGTTTCTTTATCTGTATCGCAATAGTACAGAAATTGTTGTAATAAATTAATCGAAATTTTGATTTTGCATTAAGTTTATAATATGCCTACATTTCAATTGGAATAATGGATTAATTAAATTTATTATATAGTTTTATATATTACTTGGACATAGTTATGTAATATAATAAACATTAAAATATATATTACAATTTTCGAGAATTTTAAGAGGAATATAAAACAGCATTTTGTGTACAATTTTGTAATGCATAAAAGAATTACATAAAAATATACATATGTAACATGCTTAGTAATATGAAAACGTTGTTTGAGATAAAAGGTAGTAACGCTCAAGGTCAAGTTCTCTGTGAATGCGATAATAGTTTGCTGGTGACTAGTATTATTATTTTCAATGATTTCCAAGAATCTAAAATTAACTTTTAATTCAACGTGACTTTGTAATCATAATTTTAAAGAAAAATTATCATAATAAATTAATTAATTTTGTATTAACAATATACTATATGAACATGTCATATGAAAATAATAAATGATAATTAAACTCAGTATACAGTTTTATATACTATTGGACGTTTCATAAATATTGCATGACATTTCAAAGATTTGCTCATACATAAAATTTATGTACATAAATAATAAAGCATACAATTTTGTAAGAGCCAATAATTATTATTTCTATATTCCTGCAAGTGAGCATTATTTATTATAGTAATACGCTTACACGTTTTGAATTCATTACTATAATACATGCTAATACTCGAAGATTAAATACGAGCAATAATTGCAGCAAAATAATAATACTAATTCTTGGGACTCAGGGTTCATAAATATTTTAAAATTCCTGAAAAATCTAAATTCAATAAATAATAATTACATTTCCAACGCAGAATCTTCTTCACTGAAAAATAATTTGAAAGAATTCTGCACGTAAAGCTGAGTTATTTACAATGTTCGATGTGTACCCAAAGAATTGTTATCAATGACGACGGTAACTCTTTCATTTAACAATTAAATGGTTATTCTTCGTTAAATATTAAATAAAAAGGATTCCACGCTTAAAGAAGAGTCATTTATAATGTCTACATCAAGATTTACTATCGATAGTTTAACGACGGTGACTTTTCTATTTAATTAAGTGATTCTTTATTTACAATTGTAATTACTTTCACGAAGTTCAGGTTAATTCACTCAGTCAACGTTAAATAATCGAGTCGGATAAAGTACATTATCAAGGATCGCAAATCGCAACACATAATAATGCAGCATTAAAACCAACATCTTAGTCCAGTCTAGCAGCGATCATATTTCTCTTATCAGCGCGCCAATCTTCAAGTCAGCTATTCCTCGCAAAAAGCCACACACGTTGCTTCATACAGACGGAACCGACAATAAACCATGTCGGATACGTATAATAATATCGAACAAAACAAAGGAAAAAATGAGAGAAAAGAACCACACGTTGACGAAGTTATACAAACGTTCGATTTGTCAGACAAAGCATCGAAACGGCTAAAGCATAGGCGTGTTTGTGTTGGTATGTGCTATTTTTGTTATCGTTTTTTCTTGTCTTCGAACGAATATCGCGTATCATCGCGTTCGTTATATGTATACATAGCATCATGGGAATAATTGCAATTCATGACACTCGCATTAGCGATTCGAGATCTTAATGAAAGTTAGTTTACTTGGTATACTAGTTTGTTAATTCTTTTAAACCATTCATTATTCTTGATTCCTTTCTTTTCATATTATCTCCGTATTCTAGAAGCACTCGTTAACGAGGTCCCGTAGGAATTTCTAAATTATGTTATAGCGTTTGAATGTTGTTCTTTGTATTTGATTCGAAGAATCATTCTTCAAGAATGCCATCTGTGCGTTCGGCTAAAAATGGTGAAACCTTCGAAAGGGTTAAGGGTCGGTGCAGGTCATGCATTGAAAACCTTCAACCGAATGGACACACAGCCGTAGCCACTTGAACACACTCGAAATCAGCTAAACAAACGCCGAAGGTAGAGACATACCGAACCCAACCGATCGTAAATTAAAAAAAGGCGCAGCGCCTAGCACTCGAAACCTGCTGATCTTTTCCAAACATATTTCATCCTGGTCCTTGACTTTACACTTTCACTTTTCTTCCGATTATTGTGTTACATGCCCGAATAAGTCAAGCATCGCGTAGGAAATTTCAAGATTCAACATTTAAGCTTCGTTTATGGCAATCGAAATTAAGCTAACTCTTTGCAGTCTAGATTTTTTGATTTCAGTGCATTTCTGGCGAGCTTCAGTCGACATAGGCCTGCAAAGGGTTAACGAAACTTGGATAGGAAACAACCAATTTAATTTTCATGAACGATATACTATTAAAAAATTAAATTAACTATTAAAAATGTGTTAAAAAATTCTGAAAGTGCAGAGAAGAAATAATTGTTTTAAGAGACACGTTTGACCAATGGCTGGTTCCTACATTCGCACTCCTAGTTAACTTTCTCACAGTTCTTCAACTAAATGCTTACTTTTCATGTTTTCCGCATCGAGTATTACACGATTTTTATACTAAATTTGTAACAACATTCTTCTATAGATCTATATTCTTCTAAAATGTATATTATAAAATATAACGTGGCAAATGTGTGGTTCAGGACAGATCAAAAGTTATACAGGGTGTCCCAAAAGTCGGGGAGGAGCCGGAAATGGGGGGTAGCTGAGACGATTCTGAACAACAATTTCCTTTGCAAAAATGTCGGATGGGGCTTCGTTAAGGAGATATTAAGAGAAAACCCCGACCAATCAGAGCGCGCGTAGACCGTTCGAGCGGCCGTGGTAGCGAAGGCTACGCGCTAGGCGGCAGCGTCAATGTCCTTCGATGCACGTCGAGTCACTTGTTCGCGTACAAGCGCGGCCGCCAGCGCGTAGCCTTCGCTACCGCGGCCGCTCCAACGGTCTACGCGCGCTCTGATTGGTCGGGGTTTTCTCTTAATATCTCCTTAACGAAGCCCCATCCGACATTTTTGCAAAGGAAATTATTGTTCAGAATCGTCTCAGCTACCCCCCATTTCCGGCTCTTCCCTGACTTTTGGGACACCCTGTATAGTTTTTCTATATAAATAAATGATATGTTTACCATTGGAAAGGCACAGAATTAATTTCTACACCTAATATTTCCTGAGGTACCTGTATGAAATATCAAGTACTATGTCATTAGTTTTGGTTACACAGAAATGTTAAACAATAAGATTATCTCATAGGTAATAACATTAGTGTTACTAAAAATGATTGTTATCCAAAGAACCTAATTTCCGAATGCAAAAATCTTTGAAACCATACTCTACCGAGGTTTGAAATAGATCGAACGAGTCTGCAAACTAGCGGCACATGTGATCTTAAATTTGTAACGGTGGATCATATTTTACAGTTGGATTCTGGATTCCACGAGGCAGACTATGCGTATACATAGATAAAATACAAACGCATCACTGTAACCATTTTAATTCGTTTCTAAACACTCAGTTATGCTGATAATCATGTATTACTAGCCAGTGCCGTAGCTACGATTTCGCAATTGGGCGCATACGGTGTCAAGTAATATTAATTTTTTTCGAGAACTAGACAATCGAATCGTAGGATTAATTCGCGAATCCCTGGCTTAAACAGGAAGTCTGTTAAATATGGGTTAAATATCAGAAAATTCTTGAGATACTACGTGAGGTGAAGTAATTACTTAATTTAGTTAGGATATCACGAACAAAGTATGATTGCTTGAGAAGGAAAGATTGTTAGATGGTACTTAAGTATAACGTTCCTGTGTGTTGTTAAGCGGCTGTTTACATAATACAAGGATGCCACGGTTGGGCACCTCGCATATCCACGGACTGTTCCCAAGAAACATAAAAGTCAATCAAGCCTCGCGATAAGCTGTTTTTGTTTCTTTTGTGTATTTGCGTGGAAAAATTTCGTATCGTGCATATTTACACGAAAGCAGTGGTTTAGAAAATTTTAATCGAACAACGGATGACAAATAGAATCGACAATTTAGCAATTAATTAGCAAATTGAATCGAACAATTATTCGAATAAGCGTTTGTACGACACGATACACAATATTTAATTATATTTAAAATTTATTTATTGGGTTGTCTGGAAAGTCTATGCCGATTTTTAGTAGGCGGTACAGGTCTGAATATATCGGAATGGTTGAAAACAAATAACATATGGACATCCTCTTAAATAGTGGAAAAGTCGTGGAACCAAATGGTACATACATAATTTAATAAATATAAATCAAAATTCAAACGTGTCTTTGAATGTTTCTTAAAAATTGCCACGAACTTTCTGTACAACCCGATAAGTTTACTTCGATTTTTATTCAATCGGCGTCTAATGAAAGGTTGCTTATCCTTTATTCGTGATTTTTACCTGGATTAGAATTTTGCTAATCTCTGACGACACAGAGTAAGGGGAAAGTGTCTAAACTTTCAAGCTTATTGTTAGTTTCGAAGCTCTCCTGTACACATAGACTCGTGCGAGTGTATGTCAGAGGTGTCCAAGCTAAATTCTCGCAAAACGGAGTAGGAGCTCTTTGATAATTTCTTGTTTAGTTTTTACGATAACAGGACAAAACTCGTATTATAGTTAACGTAATATCATATATTTTCTCGCACGTGCTCAATGGCTTTCTTCATACGTTGAGTGAACG